TTTAAATATGAGTTATAAAATAACACACTTCTACGCAAATAAATTCATGCCTTGGGTTGGGATTTTTTGTACATAAGGAGGCAATTAATTAATCTTTATGAGATGGAGATGTAAAATGGTCAATGAGCTGGCGTTAGGTAAGATGCAATTTTAGTAATAATAATTATGCTCCTGCCGTCAGTTCTTGGCTATTTTTACAATACGTCAGACAAAATGATAAACAGTTTCTAAGAAATTCCTGCGTTTACATTCCTTCCATTCGTCAGAAGGCAAAATTTATTTGGAATATTTCCGCCCAATTATACAATTACGTACCATGATAGGAATCTCATCCTTCCTATATGTGAATATAATTAAAATAAAATTCGTGACTACCACTATATTTGTTTATTTATAAAAGCAAGCAAATTTTTAATTAATCCGCCTAAATCATCTTTCCACTTCGTACGCAATTTAGTCAAATTAAAAGATTGTTGATTAACGGGGCTTTACAAATGAATTTTTTAGTGATTGTTCGCGGTTTCCTTCCCATTAACTTATGAAGAGAAAATGACACAAAATAAATAAACAAATGAACACACAAGGTGGGAGAGTGGTGATCATTTAAAGTAAAAATGTTGGGAGGGTGGTGAGATAAATAATTTTTCATTAATAATTATATTTTAGAAATGTATTACTAAATTACATAATTTAATTTATTGAATGAGATTGGTGTTCCCTATCTTCTTTTTTGGTAGTGTAATTGGTAAGAAACCAAACAAACGTTCTATCTTCATTCAAATTTAATAGCCTTAATTTAACTTTTAAATTTTTTGGATATAAGTTTTAAATAAAAATTTAACATATTTATAAATAATAATTAAAACTTTTTTAATTAAATAAAAATATTCAACAAAAATTATATATAAAATAAAAAATTTTAATTATCATTTATTTAAATTTATTTTTATCTAAAATTTATATTTAAAAACTTAAAAATTAAATTAAGACTATTAAAATTAGACTAGAGAGTTTTATTTTTTTTATTTTTGACAAAAAATACAATATTAAATTAGTATTTGTTTAAAAAAAAAGTTAAATTTGAGAGTCAATTTGCAAATCGAAATGTGTTCCACCTACTTCTCAATTTAAAAAAACGTGATCGTCACTACAACCACACGAGAGAATGCAACCAGAGAGTTTTAGTTTAATTATAACACTATCAAACCACTGATATCATGATTGTTTGAATAAGTCAGGAAAAACACCTATCTTTTCTTCAAGGCAAAAGCCAACGTTTAGTCCTTAACTTTATTAGGTTTATAATTTTTAGTCCCTTATCTTGCACATCAAAGACTTTAACCTCTCAGGTATTCAAGTTAAAGAAAATAACTCAAAATGGATATAAAATTATCACATGCCTCATGTGGTTCCTAAAATTTTATTTAACTTTATCCTTATCAATGCCATGCAAGCTAATTTAAGCCAATAATGCTTGCCACCATAACCTATTAAAATATATATTTAAGTGGTTTTATATTGTCTCAAATACACTCAAAAGAAAAACTAAAGAAGAAAAAAGGAAAACAGAGGAAAAACTAAAAACAATTCCATTGATTAATGGTTCCATGATTTCATAATCATTTTGCATTATGAAGTTAAATGGAACTGTAAATTATCACGTAACGCCATCGATTTAGAATCATTAATCAATGGCTCTTCAGAATCATTTTAAATTATCACATGGCTCCATCAGTTCCATTGATAATTTAGAGTACATTTTGGGTTTTTTTTTTCACTCAAATTGTTGAAGGGTTAAAACCTAAAGTGTGTAAGATAAGTGGTAAAAATAACAACATTAATAAGGTTAGATACTAAATATAGGCTTTTGCCTCTTTTCACTAGGGCAGGCATTTTTCAGTTATAACCAAATTAGTTTGATAAAGTACTTATTAGAAATTATACCTAATTTATTTAATTTGATTAAAATTAATTTTACCAATTTACAATACCAATACAAAACTAATCAAATTTAACCCAAAAGAATCTTGCCAAGGGAAATTATCGAAAAGAAACTCGAGCGACGAGGACAACGGTAGCCTGGCAGCTCTTATAAGGAAAGGGACTGCTGAAATTGAAGCTTCCTTCCTCTTAGATCCACAAGAGGCATCCATACATTTAATGCATATGTGCTGCCACAGTATTACTTAGTGGGTCCAGTCCTTCGCAGCTGTCTTCTTCATCACTCTCCAAGTTGTTTTCGTTACTCTCCAAGTTTTAATTTTTCACCTTCCATAACATAAGAGGCATAATCCCTCCAAAGCCTTTCAACTGTTTATTATTGAGACCATTAACTCCTCAACATATATTTTGTGTACTTTAACTCATAAACTCACGTTATTGTTGCAATTAGTTTAAAATAATCAATACCTCATCACATGACTCACATAACCATCACTACTATGTTACCCTATTCTCATTAGCACCATATTAATATAAATATGGTTTACTTGGACTTACAAAAGCAAAAAAAGTTCAACTCAAAACACATTTGGGTCACATTTTTGGTGGGATTTTTTTTTTTTTTCTTTCATGGGTCCAAATGGACCATATTTATGTTAGCATGATACTAACAGAAATAGGGTAACAAAGTAGAGACGCCATGTGACTTATGTGATGGAATTCTATCTATTTTAAGTCAATTATAGTAATAACATGAAGCCTACGTGCTAAAGTACACAAAATGTATGTTGAGGAATTATGGTCTTTAAAACAAACAATTGGAGGGCTTCTTGGGGGTTAAGCCAAAAGGCCAACATAACATGGGTAATTTTGTCTTTTGCTTCCTTTCTTTTTATTATAAATGTTATATTGTTCATATATAATATTAAACAATTGAATTTAGTAAAAAAGAAATACAAGTAAATATATATTGATTAATGTGTCTCATCTAAATCAAAGAAGTTAGTAAAAATTTTGCTTCATCATATAATAAATATTGTCAACAGATCATTTTTGAGTTAGGTTGCCTTTTGAATCAAATTAGTTGCTTAATAGACATCGAAAGTTCAGATTTGGCAACGGAATAAACAATTATTCCAATTGCATGTCACATATTTGCATTGACAATGTTGCATGTATTTTCCAGGAAAAAGAAAAGAAAGTCCGAAATACTACCTCATCATCCACATGCATGTGTTGAGGATTGACTATGATCGATCAGGTCCATCCCAGATTGGCACCCGCACTATTGATTGTCTGTAGTTTGTACCGCATTTGCACTTCACAACCATCCCAACTGACATACCAGCTTATAAAAGAAGATGTATGTCAAGCTTGATTAAACTCGATTATCCAGTTAATTATGTGCCAACTCTAACTTATTAAAAATCAACATTAGTGTTAAGATGGATTCAACTTGAAATTAAACTCAATTAGGTTTGAATCAACATTGATAGCTTGATTAAACCTAAACTTGCCTACATTGCCTAACTAAAGATGAAAACGTACTTATTCCTATTAGTAAATGAGTAAAGCCAAAAGTTGGTAACAATCATAACCGACGGTTTGTTGTTGGTGATATATACTGTTTATGAATTGTCTTTTTAACGACACAAAGTGCCAACAACACGCTGTGAGTAACGTTTTCATCACTCGCAGATTTTTTGCCATCGATGATGGCGGCCACCTTTAGTGACGTTAAATTCTTGTAGCGGAAAGGATTCAAACTTCTGATAAATCCAAATTTCATTAATAATATTTTTGT